ACCACCACTCAAATTAATTCCTCTTTCACCTATTTCAGTTTGATCACCATACGGAAGCAACTCAAGATCCTTCACCAATGAACTTCTTTCAAGTGTTTCATGGTATCGATAGGCATCCATACAAGACCCAAATAAAATGTTTTCTCGTATGCTTCCAGTCTGGATCCAAGCTGTTTGCGAAACATAGGCAATCTTCCCATACACTTGAATCTAAAGATATTAAAAATATATATATAATGCTTCAAAATTACAAAACTTGAAAACTTAGTAAAGATTTACATGTATTCTCACAATTACAGAAGAGAGAATGAGAACAGTAAACTTACAATTCCCTCTGTATTTGGAACTTCACCAAGAATTGCCGCTATAAGGGTTGATTTGCCCGAACCTACTTCTCCACAGATAGCAACCTTTTCGCCAGGTCTAACCTCTAGGCTTATATTCTTGATTGTTGGCTTCAAACAATTCTCCTCCCAAGAAAAATTGGCTGATTTGATGAAGACGGCATGGTTCACATTCTCCAAGCTGCTCTTCTGCCTGACATTTGCACTCTGTAGCTCAGATGCCTCAAGGAATTTTACAATACGTGTAAATGAAACCTTAGCCTGAATGACTGCTCCAAAAACATAAGGGATATTTCTTAAAGGGCCTTGAACAAGACATAAAGTTGCAACAAAAGTGAAAACAATGCTAGCATATAGCGGAATCTTGAGGAAATAGCATGCCCCAAAAGTAGCAACTGAGACAAAAACAGGCGACGACCATGAGAGAAAGCCATTACATCCCTTTCGCAAATGCAATGCAAATAACCATTTATATTCCACCTTACGTAAATTTTCAATGAAATTCTTGAAATGGGTTTCCCATGCATACAATTTCAAAACCTTCATGTTCACAAGAGCCTCAGTAGTAGCCTTCAGTCTCTCGTCCTGTGCAACCATGAGCTTGCTTTGAAACTTATGTTGCAGCTTTGCAAGCGGAGTACCGCATAGCACAGTGAGAATTATAACCACCAAAGCTGCAAATGTTGTTAACCCCACTGCACGAAAGAGAATTACAATTGCAATACAAAGCCGCAGACTTGTCGTCCAAGTTTGGTGAAACCAGAAAGGGAATTCTCCAATCCCGTAAGCATCCACAGTAACATAGTTCATTATCTCACCACCTGAGTGCTTCAGCCTGGCAGCATTTGACAACTCAACTGCTTCTTGTAAATGGCTACTGTGAGCAAGGACCTCACTTTCTGTTGGCTTTGCAAGGTTCTAAAGTTTTGAAAAAAGGTTATTTGTGCAAAAGAGAAAGAGCTAAAACGGAAGAAGAAAAACTGACAGCAAAAAGGTCCTACTTTTTTCATTCAAAAACAGAGAGATATATGGTCATCATACAATACTGTTACAACCACTTCACACCATATATATAATCTTTTAAAATGATACAATTTGAACTACCCTTAACAACCACAAATAGCATTGGGATTTTGTTGCCTTAATCACCGGCTGTCTTCACCTAAACAATATATAAATATCACTTGACAGACAGCCCATTTAATTCAAAAACTGGCGCCAAACCGTCAAACCAGCCATGCAAAAAGTTTCCAGCAAAATATCATTTGCTTCAACACTTTCAGACCAATTACTCTACTTCTGAAATACCACTGCCTTTGTGACAAGGATTCTAAGCCCTTTGAAATGAAAAGTGTCATGGCCAATACATAACCTTCATATCGGAAAGCTGTTTTTCCCTCGGCAACCAAAATGAAGGCATTAAGTAGCAGAGGACCAGCTGAGAGAGTGAGAATCTTTAGCAAAGCAAAGAACCCAGAAATGAAAATCTCTTTCCGGTGGCATATTATTATTGTCCTCAAGATTGATGGTTGAGATGATGGTTCAATTTGTTTCTGTTTATTCAACTGATCCAGGAATTGAAGATAACAGCTTTCTGCTCGATCTGCCTCATGCAAACTGGGTATATCTTCCTCCTCAAGAGTTTTCTCCCTACCCCTTTTCATTAATGGATTCAACCACCAAAATGACAGTTCACTGAAGAAACCAGATTTTGAAAATCGTGTAACTTGGCCAACACTAATGCCGTTGGCCTCACTATTCAAAGGGACATAGACCACTTTCGCTAATTTTCGCTTCACTTTCGTCGTATTTATCTTCCTTATAAGTGGATAACAGCAACAACAATGCCCCAGGAAAAGAAAGAAAATCTATGGCTATTTTTATCGGTATGTTTTTGCTAAGTATTGCAGCAAAGACAGATAAAGCACAAACAGTTCCAGCAAACGAAAAGGTAAGAATGCACAAAAGCCGCATTGGTGCCCTTGGAAGATGACTTCCCCTTAGGCTTATTGTCAAACTAACAACCAACCATGTGACACCTTGAATCAGTACTAGTAACTAACAATTCAAAGGTAATGCAGTCTGAGTTTTCCTAAGCTTCTCTTCTAAAATCCAAATGCCTAAGCCCAAATAGACTAAGCCTAGAGATCCATTAATAACAGCAGCTGCTATCTGGAATGATGTAAATCGCTGCAAACATGCTGGAATGTGAAGCCTTCTTGATGATGACTTCTGAATCATATTGAATAAGAGCATGACCAGGAGCAAAATATCAAAGCAAATGATCAATGCATGATTGATAAATGAATTTGGTTGAATGAAGAGCAAAAATTCAGAATTGCAAGGATTTCCAACAGTGTCTGAACAACTAGATTCCCCACAGAACATTATCCTTAGATCCTTCATCGTTTTTTTTTCTTTTTTCCCCTGCTGTCCAAACCCTTTATTGCATACTAATGCATAATCAATCATACATAATAACAAATTTTCTATCTAATACATAATCAATCATACATAATAACAATTTTTTTATTACTAAAAGTAACATCGTGCTCTACTGTCAGCCTACACAAGTTTGCTTTTGGGTTTCACACAAGCGTTATTGACGCAAAACACATCCTTTTGGGTTTCACACAAGCGTTTAAGAGCTCACATGATATTTAACAAATCTTCACTTTGATAAAGTGGGCTAAGAGGGAGTCCAACCACTTATAAACACCATAACAGACCACTATTTGAGGGACATGGGACAAATTTAACTTCTAACACACTTAACCTTCACAAAAATGTGGGATGTCACACTAAATGTCCAAATCATTCAATAAATAGGATTATAATCAATTTCTGGCTTTTTGATTAATAGAATCAGTAAGGTAGTGAAAAGTGCAAATCCCCACAACATAATAAAGAAAAGGATCATAATGCAAGTGAGAGACAGCAAACCAAACGAATGCAGTAAGCTCAAATGGAGCTTAATTGTATGTATTGATAGAGAAGCAAAGGTGAAGCAATTGCATGTACAAAAAGATACTGAAAAGTCCATGGTACCTTAAAAATGGCCTCAAATTAGCACCCTTCTCCTCCTCCTATTCTCTCAGTGCGTACTCTAGAAGGAGCTAAGTGCAAATATTCCAGGGTGTAAAAGTTCTGAAACAGCAAAGCTCAATGAGAGAGAGAGACTGTTGGTGTTTAGTGCCGGTGAATACTAAGGAAAAGATGAAAATGAATTTGAGTTGAGAGAAAATATCTTTCATTACAATGCATATTACAATTTATATATCCAAAAGCTTACCGTTACACCAACTAAAAACAGACAATTCAAATTTGAAATTTAAAACTAAGGTTTACAACAAATACATCCTTAATCTTAGCTGATTGCACCTAAACATGTCACTAAAAATCAACCACTACAGCAGCTCCATTCACGGCAGACAGAGGAGACAGCAGCAGTTCTTTGGCGCCAAAAATTGATTCAAAAACAAACTGAATTTCCAACTGCACTCGAATAACAGAATGAGTAACACAGGTACATCTGATTGTTCTTGTTTACGAATATAAGCAGATTAGTAAAACCCGGAAACTCTAAGCAGAAAGAAATCATCTCATTAATGGTGTAAGATTAAAGCCACAATCAAGAGCCCTCATGATCCATATGGAAAACTTACATCAGCCTGTTTGTTATGCGGCGATGCTCACAGGGAAAATGGAAATCAAAAGTACATAAAATTTGGAGTTCCTAGATTTTAAAAAAAAAATAGAAGCAAGAAGAATAAAGAAATTATAAAAGATGTTGGAGAGGTCCAAAGTTGAGAGTACTAACCAAAACAGAATCAAATGCAGGTAGAAAATCAACTTGATGAGTCACAAGTAAAACTGCCTTCCTTGAAAGTGCTCCCATAACATATTCCTGCCCAGAGTTTAAGTTAGTTTTCCCCAAACAAAATTAATTAAATAAAAAAAAAAAATATTGAAAAAGATAACTAGTTACATTAAACAAACTTGTAGCTGTATGAGCATCCATGGCACTGAATGGATCATCCAAGAGATATATATCAGCGTCCTGATATAGCGCACGAGCAAGTTGAATCTCTGCTTCTGACCACCACTCAAATTAATTCCTCTTTCACCTATTTCAGTTTGATCACCATACGGAAGCAACTCAAGATCCTTCACCATGAACTTCTTTCAGTGTTTCATGGTATCGATAGGCATCCATACAAGACCCAAATAAAATGTTTCTCGTATGCTTCCAGTCTGGATCCAAGCTGTTTGCGAAACATGCAATCTTCCCATACACTTGAATCTAAAGAATTAAAAATATTATATAATGCTTCAAAATTACAAAACTTGAAAACTTAGTAAAGATTTACTGTATTCTCACAATTACAGAAGAGAGAATGAGAAACTAAACTTACAATTCCCTCTGTATTTGGAACTTCACCAAGAATTGCCGCTATAAGGGTTGATTTGCCCGAACCTACTTCTCCACAGTACAACCTTTTCGCCAGGTCTAACCTCTAGGCTTATATTCTTGATTGTTGGCTTCAAACAATTCTCCTCCAAGAAAAATTGGCTGATTTGATGAAGACGGCATGGTTCACATTCTCCAAGCTGCTCTTCTGCCTGACATTTGCACTCTGAGCTCAGCTGCCTCAAGGAATTTTACAATACGTGTAAAGAAACCTTGCCTGAATGACTGCTCCATAACATCAGGGATATTTCTTATAGGGCCTTGAACAGACGTAGAGTTGCAACAAAAGTGAAAACACTGCTAGCATATAGCGGAATCTTGAGGAAATAGCATGCCCCAAAGTAGCAACTGAGACAAAAACAGGCGACGACCAGGAGAGAAAGCCATTACATCCCTCGCAAATGCAATGCAAATAACCATTTATATCCACCTTACGTAAATTTTCAATGAAATTCTTGAAATGGGTTTCCCATGCACAATTTCAAAACCTTCATGTTCACAAGAGCCTCAGTAGTAGCCTTCAGTCTCTCGTCCTGTGCAACCATGAGCTTGCTTTGAAACTTATGTGCAGCTTTGCAAGCGGAGTACCGCATAGCACAGTGAGAACTATAACCACCAAAGCTTCAAATGTTGTTAACCCCAATGTTGGAGATCCCATATCGACTAGCACACTCAACCAATAGATTTATAAGAGGGGGTAATCCTCCCACTCAATAAGGCCTTTTGGTGAGAGAGTAGGCCCAACTCCAACAGTGGTATCAGAGCCAGCCCCATGTGAGCTGAGTGATTGACCAGCGGTGGGCTGCCAAAACCTCCATTCATAGGCAAGTGGACCATATGGGCTTGACCGTGAGGGGGAGTGTTGGAGATCCCATATCGACTAGGCACACTCAAGCCAATGGGTTTATAAGAGGGGGTAATCCTCCCACTCAATAGGCCTTTTGGGTGAGGAGTTAGGCCCAACTCCAACACCCACTGCACGAAAGAGAATTACAATTGCAATACAAAGCCGCAGACTTGTCGTCCAAGTTTGGTGAAACCAGAAAGGGAATCTCCAATCCCGTAAGCATCCACAGTAACATAGTTCATTATCTCACCACCTGAGTGCTTCAGCCTGGCAGCATTTGACAACTCAACGCTTCTTGTAAATGGCTCTGTGAGCAAGGACCTCACTTTCTGTTGGCTTTGCAAGGTTCTAAAGTTTTGAAAAAAGTTTTTTGTGCAAAAGAGAAGAGCTAAAACGGAAGAAGAAAAACGACAGCAAAAAGGTCCTACTTTTTTCATTCAAACCATAGAGATATATAGTTTGATCCATCTTCCGCAACTATGTAACCAATTCATAGTAAATATCACTATCAAAAGTAAAAGCAAAAGACTGAAAAATTCATAAATTCCATAACACTTGCCTAAGGAGTCAAGGCCCTCATCTTTCTCCTGGACAGCTTCCCGAAGCTGGCACTTTCCAACAACCTACCAAAGTGGCCAGCCAATGATTAGCATGTAGAAGTAAACAACAAAAATTACTTCCACATGAAAAAGTATCTCTCAGTCAAAGCAATTGTCAGATCCTAAACATCAACCAACGGCAAAAAAAAAAGTATTGAAATTTACCTCCCATATTTCCTGGTCTGTATGTTGAGATAAGGGATCCAGGTTATATCTCACAGACCCATTGAAAAGAGTAGGATCCTGAGGTATTATGCCGAAATGTGACCTCAGATCATGAAGTCCAATTTTACATATATCAATGCCATCTACAATAATCTTCCCTCCGGCTGGCTCCACTAATCGAAATAGAGCACCAATGAGAGTAGTCTTTCCACTGCCAGTTCGGCCAACAATACCAATTTTGTGCCCTCCTTCAAATGTGCAACTGATACCCCGAAGGACTAGTGGTGCATCAGGCCTATATCTGATCTGTTTGATCAACAATTTTCTCAGTATAATCATTATAAGTATATTCAATGAATTGCAAAGATTCAAAGAGAAGTGAGAAAGAGAGACTAGGGTTTTCACATTGTAATTGACTAAGCATTGAGTACAAAAGAGGGTTTATATTACAAGGGAAAGTAAAATGCTATTCTACCCTTAAGTTATAAGAGAATGTACACATTACTCATAAGAAATCATCACCGGTAGGAGTACAGAAAATGGAGAAAGTAAAATTTGTACCTGTAAATCACATATGTCCACTTTACCCATAGCAGGCCAGTTGGGTGGGGGGCGATTGTCTTTTATCACTTCAGGGGCTTCACTTGGTACATTCATGTATTGTTTAAGTCTTTCTACAGAAATGATATAATTTGCTATAGTACACTGGTTTTGGATTGACATAAACTACGAAAACATTTAATGAAAGACCATAAGATAGTGCCATCCCAATAAATCCTGCACATAACAGAGGTAATTGTATAATAATTAGTAGTTTAATAATGTACAAAGAATTTGTCTCAAGAAAAGATTTCATAGTCTAAAAATGTGCATTGAGATTTGCTTGTTAGAATACAGCATTGGTATCAATTATATCAAGATTTTTACCAAAAAACCGCTCTTCCTCCTGAAAGGCCCTTATTATTGTGGCTCCTGCTATAGACTCAGCTAAATGATTTGCCACCAAGGACTTGATTGTGCCATTGATCCGCATCAATTCTTTTGCAGTATAAAAATAATACCTCTGTAAAACAATATAATAATTAGTAAACTTTACTCGTTAAAATTCATCATGACAACTCCAGAATATACACAAAGCAAAGCTGGGTATATCTCATGTATTATGCTACTACATTAGCACCAGATTTCAAAAAAGGATGAGTTTTTTGGAAGATGATAGAAGAGTACCCTTCTATAGAAAACTTTGTTGTATATTACCTGCAAGCGAGTAGCCATGAAAATCACTGGTATTGAGACGAAAAGAACTTGCCAAGTGACAACAACTAGTACTCCAAGATTACTATAAGCATTAATGGTAGCTGCAACAGAAAGAATTAAACTGAACAGGATATCAAGGTCAACAATGCTCAGATCGAAGGAGACCTATATAAGACCAACATGCAAACTTATTAAAGTGATATTAGTTTCATCAACCACTCTTGTAGGTATTAGGAAAAGCATTTTGTGATATAGATAATTACCCGACTAAGGACTCTTCCCAACGGTGTGGAGTCATAAAAAGACATAGGTGCACGAAAAAGGGAATCTAGAAGCTGTGAAAATAAAGATTGTGATGATCGAATACCTAAAACAACAGTGGAGAGAGATCTAAATAGCAAAAATAGTGTTGAGGTAAATCCAATCACTATGTAAACGACAATCAGCCTCAATGTGCTAACATGAGGATTATCAACATTAGAAGCATCCATGTGTTCTGTGATATCTGACCAATCACAAATATAAGTTGAAAAAGACTGGCCATGGAGGAGAACAAAAATCCTTTGCTCTGCTTCAGATACTTTGTGTATGGCTTGAAACCTGTGTCTCCTATTTCTCTCTCTTCTTTTTTTATCAGCTGATCACTTTTGGATGCTTCAGACTGTTTGTCCACATAACCCCTCTTGATCTCTTTAGCAGGTGCACCACGATTCTGAGAAGTAACCTCAGCAAGTTTTTCAGAACCGGCAGTTTCTTTGTATGCATTGACAAGGTCCTGAAATTCTTTGCTCGAGGACAATAATTGATGATAAGTAGCTGTCTTCAGGATTTCCCCATCTGACATTAACTGTCAGAAAAATGAATATTACTTTAAATGACTATACATTTCAATTAACTATGTGCACTTTGCAGTCACTATATATTCTCTGCTCATTGCACATCGAATAACAGAATGAGGAACACAGGTTACATCTGATTGTTCATTGTTTACGAATATAAAGCAGATTAGTAAAACCCGGGAACTCTAAGCAGAAAGAAATCATCTCATTAATGGTGTAAGATTAAAGCCACAATCAAGAGCCCTCATGATCCATATGGAAAACTTACATCAGCCTGTTTGATATTATGCGACGATGCTCACAGGGAAAATGGAAATAAAAAATACATAAAAATTTAGAGTTCCTAGATTTTAAAAAAAAAAAAAAAAAATAGAAGCAAGAAGAATAAAAGATGTTGGAGAAAGGGTCCAAAGTTGAGAGTGCTAACCAAAACAGAATCAAATGTAGGTAGAAAATCAACTTGATGAGTCACAAGTAAAACTGCCTTCCTTGAAAGTGCTCCCATAACATATTCCTGCCCAGAGTTTAAGTTAGTTTTCCCCAAAACAAAACTAATTAAATTAAAAAAAAAAAAAAATATTGAAAAAAAGATAACTAGTTACATTAAACAAACTTGTAGCTGTATGAGCATCCACGGCACTGAATGGATCATCCAAGAGATATATATCAGCGTCCTGATATAGCGCACGAGCAAGTTGAATTCTCTGCTTCTAACCACCACTCAAATTAATTCCTCTTTCACCTATTTCAGTTTGATCACCATACGGAAGCAACTCAAGATCCTTCACCAATGAACACCTTTCAAGTGTTTCATGGTATCGATAGGTATCCATAGAAGACCCAAATAAAATGTTTTCTCGTATGCTCCCAGTCTGGATCCAAGCTGTTTGCGAAACATAGGCAATCTTCCCATACACTTGAATCTAAAGATATTAAAAATATATATCTAATGCTTGAAAATTACAAAACTTGAAAACTTAGAAGTAAAGGTTTACACGTATTCTCACAATTACAGAAGAGAGAATGAGAACAGTAAACTTACAATTCCCTCTGTATTTGGAACTTCACCAAGAATTGCCGCTATAAATGTTGATTTGCCCGAACCCACTTCTCCACAGATAGCCACCTTTTCGCCAGGTCTAACCTCTAGGCTTATATTTTTGATTGTTGGCTTCAAACAATTCTCCTCCCAAGAAAAATTGGATGATTTGATGAAGAAGGCATGGTTCACATTCTCCAAGTTCCTCTTCTGCCTGACATTTGCACTCTGTAGCTCAGCTGCCTCAAGGAATTTTACAATACGTGTAAATGAAACCTTCGCCTGAATGACTGCTCCAACAACATAAGGGATATTTCTTACAGGGCCTTGAACAAGACATAAAGTTGCAACAAAAGTGAAAACATTGCTAGCATATAGCGGAATCTTGAGGAAATAGCATGCCCCAAAAGTAGCAACTGAGACAAAAACAGGCGACGACCATGAGAGAAAGCCATTACATCCCTTTCGCAAATGCAATGCAAATAACCATTTATATTCCACCTTACGTAAATTTTCAATGAAATTCTTGAAATGGGTTTCCCATGCATACAATTTCAAAACCTTCATGTTCACAAGAGCCTCAGTAGTAGCCTTCAGTCTCTCGTCCTGTGCAACCATGAGCTTGCTTTGAAACTTATGTTGCAGCTTTGCAAGCGGAGTACCGCATAGCACAGTGAGAATTATAACCACCAAAGCTGCAAATGTTGTTAACCCCACTGCACGAAAGAGAATTTCAATTGCAATACAAAGCCGCAGACTTGTCGTCCAAGTTTGGTGAAACCAGAAAGGGAATTCTCCAATCCCGTAAGCATCCACAGTAACATAGTTCATTATCTCACTACCTGAGTGCTTCAGCCTGGCAGCATTTGACAATCTCAACTGCTTCTTGTAAATAGATGCTGTGAGCAAGGACCTCACTTTCAGACCAATTACTCTACTTCTGAAATACCACTGCCTTTGTGACAAGGATTCTAAGCCCTTTGAAATGAAAAGTGTCATAGCCAATACATAACCTTCTGTTGGTTTTTAGAGCTGGAGTATACTAAGAAAAGAGGACCAAAAACTGACGTGAGAGAGAGCTGTAGAGAGAGAAAATCTGAACTGAAATTTACTCTGTTTTACATTCAAAAAACAGGGGTAGATTTATACAAAGCACACGCCACTGTTCCACCTAAAGCTGCAAATTTAAAATTTAAACTAAACACACCAACTAATGCACGTACAGACATATCAAAATACATCATTTTATCAACCTAATTCACCTAAACACATCACTGACATATTTCTTAAACAGTGACCAAAAACAACTTCTTTATGCACAGTAGCATTTCAAACCGTGGCGCCAAAATCTTGCAACTCCCACCGTGTGTTGACTTCATCATTTCCAGCATGGTATCACCATTCAACACCTTCATATTGGAAAGCTGTTTTTCCCTCGGCAACCAAAATGAAGGCATTAAGTAGCAGAGAACCAGCTGAGAGAGTGAGAATCTTTAGCAAAGCAAAGAACCCAGAAATGAAAATCTCTCTCCGGTGGCATATTATTATTGTCCTCAAGATTGATGGTTGAGATGATGGTTCAATTTGTTTCTGTTTATTCAACTGATCCAGGAATTGAAGATAACAGCTTTCTGCTCGATCTGCCTCATGCAAACTGGGTATATCTTCCTCCTCAAGAGTTTTCTCCCTACCCCTTTTCATTAATGGATTCAACCACCAAAATGACAGTTCACTGAAGAAACCAGATTTTGAAAATCGAGTAACTTGGCCAACACTAGTGCCGTTGGCCTCACTATTCAAAGGGACATAGACCACTTTCGCTAATTTTCGCTTCACTTTCTTCGTATTTATCTTCCTTATAAGTAGATAACAGCAACAACCATGCCCCAGGAAACGAAAGAACATCTATGGCTATCTTTATCGGTATGTTTTTGCAAAGTATTGCAGCAAAGACAGATAAAGCACAAACAGTTCCAGCAAACGAAAAGGCAAGAATGCACAAAAGCCGCATTGGTGCCCTTGGAAGATGGCTTCCCCTTAGGCTTATTGTCAGACTAACAACCAACCATGTGACACCTTGAATCAGTACTAGTAACTAACAATTCAAAGGTAATGCAGTCTGAGTTTTCCTAAGCTTCTCTTCTAAAATCCAAATGCCTAAGCCCAAATAGACTAAGCCTAGAGATCCATTAATAACAGCAGCTGCTATCTGGAATGATGTAAATCGCTGCAAACATGCTGGAATGTGAAGCCTTCTTGATGATGACTTCTTAATCATATTGAATAAGAGCATGACCAGGAGCAAAATATCAAAGCAAATGATCAATGCATGATTGATACATGAATTTGGTTGAATGAAGAGCAAAAATTCAGAATTGCAAGGACTTCCAACAGTGTCTGAACAACTAGATTCCCCACAGAACATTATACTTAGATCCTTCATCGTTTTTTTTTCTTTTTTCCCCTGCTGTCCAAACCCTTTATTGCATACTAATGCAAAATCAATCATACATAATAACAAATTTTCTATCTAATACATAATCAATCATACATAATAACAATTTTTTTATTACTAAAAGTAACATCGTGCTCTACTGTCAGCCTACACAAGTTTGCTTTTGGGTTTCACACAAGCGTTATTGACGCAAAACACATCCTTTTGGGTTTCACACAAGCGTTTAAGAGCTCACATGATATTTAACAAATCTTCACTTTGATAAAGTGGGCTAAGAGGGAGTCCAACCACTTATAAACACCATAACAGACCACTATTTGAGGGACATGGGACAAATTTAACTTCTAACACACTTAACCTTCACAAAAATGTGGGATGTCACACTAAATGTCCAAATCATTCAATAAATAGGATTATAATCAATTTCTGGCTTTTTGATTAATAGAATCAGTAAGGTAGTGAAAAGTGCAAATCCCCACAACATAATAAAGAAAAGGATCATAATGCAAGTGAGAGACAGCAAACCAAACGAATGCAGTAAGCTCAAATGGAGCTTAATTGTATGTATTGATAGAGAAGCAAAGGTGAAGCAATTGCATGTACAAAAAGATACTGAAAAGTCCATGGTACCTTAAAAATGGCCTCAAATTAGCACCCTTCTCCTCCTCCTATTCTCTCAGTGCGTACTCTAGAAGGAGCTAAGTGCAAATATTCCAGGGTGTAAAAGTTCTGAAACAGCAAAGCTCAGTGAGAGAGAGACTGTTGGTGTTTAGTGCCGGTGAATACTAAGGAAAAGATGAAAATGAATTTGAGTTGAGAGAAAATATCTTTCATTACAATGCATATTACAATTTATATATCCAAAAGCTTACTGTTACACCAACTAAAAACAGACAATTCAGATTTGAAATTTAAAACTAAGGTTTACAACAAATACATCCTTAATCTTAGCTGATTGCACCTAAACATGTCACTAAAAATCAACCACTACAGCAGCTCCATTCATGGCAGACAGAGGAGACAGCAACAGTTCTTTGGCGCCAAAAACTGATTCAAAAACAAACTGAATTTCCAACCAAATTTTCAGCAAATTATCACTGTTTCAACACTCCTCCTTGATAAGTTTGCTGGAAACACCAAGTCTGAGCCTAAAGTCTTCAAACTTAGTTTTGGATAATCCTTTAGTCAAGATGTCAGCCACTTGATCATCACCACTGCAGTGAAACAGTTTAACTTCCCCTTCTTGCTCAGCTTCTCTCACTGCATGGAACTTGATCTTTATGTGTTTAGTCCTTCCATGATGGACTGGATTTTTAGCCATAGCCACAGCCAACTAATTGTCACACATAATTACAGTAGGATGTCTCTACTTCAGTTTCAAATCTTCNTGATTCAAAAACAAACTGAATTTCCAACCAAATTTTCAGCAAATTATCACTGTTTCAACACTCCTCCTTGATAAGTTTGCTGGAAACACCAAGTCTGAGCCTAAAGTCTTCAAACTTAGTTTTGGATAATCCTTTAGTCAAGATGTCAGCCACTTGATCATCACCACTGCAGTGAAACAGTTTAACTTCCCCTTCTTGCTCAGCTTCTCTCACTGCATGGAACTTGATCTTTATGTGTTTAGTCCTTCCATGATGGACTGGATTTTTAGCCATAGCCACAGCCAACTAATTGTCACACATAATTACAGTAGGATGTCTCTACTTCAGTTTCAAATCTTCCAGAATTTTTCTCAAGCAAACAGCTTGGTTCACAGCAGCTGCAGCCAAAATGTATTCTACTTCTGTTGTGGATTGTGACACAGTTTCCTATTTTTTTTTTAAAGTCATCAGATTGCACCATAATTCAAGAAGAAAGCATACCCTGAAGTGTTTTTCATGTCTTCCATAGAACCACCCCAGCACTATCAGAAAATCCCATTAATCTAAAGTTTTCTCCTAAACCACACTCCAAAGTTGGTGCTCCTTTTTACATATCTTAGCACCCTTTTTGCAGCTTTGAAGTGTGTTTCCTTGGGCTGATTCATAAACCTGGACAGCAAACGTGTAGCAAACATGATATCAAGTCTAGTTGTTGTTAGGTACAGCAAGCAGCCAACCAAGCTCCTATACTGCCCTTCATCAACACTTTCTGCAGCATCATCCTTTGACAGCTTTTGATTAGGAACCAGTGGAATGTCCACTGATTTGCAATTCTCCATATTGAATTTCCTTAGAACTTCAATTGCATACTTCTCTTGATTAACAAAAATTCCAGCTGAGCTTTGATAAACCTGCATCCCGAGAAAGTAAGCCATTTCACCTAAATCTGTCACCTCAAACTCATCAAACATGGATTTCTTGGATTCCTCCAACTGAGTTGGTTTGCTCCCTGTCACAAGTAGATCATCAACATACAAGGAGATAATCATCACATCTTCATCAATCTCTCTAATATACAATGTGTGCTCATTTGGACTTTTCACAAAATCCAAACTCAATAAGTGATCATTGATCCTGCTGTACCAAGCCCTTGGTGCCTGTTTCAGGCCATACAAGGCCTTCTTTAGGAGATAAACTTTATCTTCTTTTCCCCTGATTTTGTACCCTTCCGGCTGTTCAACATATATCTCCTCATTCAGTCATCCATTGAGGAAGACTGATTTGATGTCTAACTGAAAAATTTTCCATGCAAATTGTGCTGCCACTGCAAGTAACAACATGATTGCGTCATGCCTTGCAATTGGTGCAAAGGCATCCAGGAAATCAACTCCATACTGTTGAGAAAACTTTTGACAACCAGCCTAGCTTTGTGCTTAAGGACTAAGCCATCCGAGTTAAGCTTCTTCTTGAAAATCCATTTAACTTGGATTACTTTTCTGTTCTGAGGTCTGTCTACCAGGTTCCAAGTTTGGTTTTTCTCAATCATTGCCAGCTCCTCCTTCATGGCAACTCTCCAAACCTCTGATTTTGCTGCTTCAAAGTAACATGTTGGCTCAAGTGAAGCCATGTTACATCTCTCATAAACCTCGGTTAAAGGTCTGGTACCTCTAACCGAGAGTCCTTCTTCTACATCACTCTCATCATCCTCAATAATCCAATCACCTACAGATTCTATCCATTTTGGTTTTGTCTCCATATCAACTCTATTTTCTTCCCAATTCCAAACTCCATCCTCATCTATTTTGATATCCATGGAAATTTGAATTTTTTTGGTTTCTGGAAATACACCCTATAGGCTTTGGATTGACTACTATAACCAATAAAAATGTCAATTAAGGCCTTCTCATCCAACTTGGATTTTTTTGCTGCTGGAACCAAAATGTAACATATGCTTCCAAATACTTTGAGCCTATCTACTGTTGGTTTAACTCCATACCAGGCTTCATAAGGTGTTTTGCTGTCTAAGGCTTTTGTGGGAAGCCTACTGAGTAGGAACACTGTTGTGTTGACAGCTTCTGCCCAAAAATTCTTTAGCAACCTCTTCTCTGCCACCATACACCTTGTCATCTCTACAACTGATCTGTTCTTCCTCTCACTGACTCCATTTTGCTGTGGAGTGTAGGGCCTGTTGTATTGATGCCTAATTCCAACTTCCTTGCATACTTGTTCAAACTCTTGAGAAGTGTATTCTGTACCATTGTCACTTCTCAAGATTTTTATAGTTTTTCCAGTTTGGTTTTCCAACAGTTGCTTAAACTGCTTAAATACACTAGCAACCTCTCCTTTTTGCTTCAAAAAATACACCCAACACATCCTGGACCAGTCATCTATAAACAATACAAAATACCTACTTCCACTCAATGACAAGGTTTCCATAGGACTACACACGTCTGTATGAATGAGTTGGAGTTTTTCAGCTGCTCGCAAGGCTTGGTTTATAGGGAAGGAGACTACCTACTCAACTTGCCAAGTTGACAAGCTGGACATACCGTTTTACTCTCCTCTATTTCGGGCAAATTCTAGACCAATTTCTTGCTCTGAATTTCCTTGAGACCTTGATAATAAAAGTGACCAAGTCTCTTATGCCATTTCTCAAACTCATCTACCCTTACATTACAAGCTCTATTTTCAGTTCTTTTCAGCTTAATGGGGAAGCTCATCCCCACCATTTTAACTTTCATTAGCTCACACCCCTTACTGTCCAAAATTTGACAGATTTGATTCTCAAAATGAAAGACATAATTGTTTTCTAACATTTGTCCTACACTTAAAAGACTTTGACTAATTTCGGGTGCATAAAGTACATTGGAAATGAGTTTTATACCTGTAGAGGTCTGGACTGCAACATCTCTCTTTCCCAGCCAGCCTTCATAGTTTGTACATATGGTTTGTACATCCATGTCAACCAGACGGCCTTCATAGCTTGTTGGTGTTGCACTGCAAAAGGCTACAAACAGCTGTTCTATCCCTTGTTCAGGTTGTTGATCATCTGTCATCTGTGCTTGCTATTGGGGTTGCTCTCCTTTGTTCTTACAAATCCTCTCCATATGGACAAACTGTTTGTAGGCCCTGCACTGTATCTCTGGCCTAAACCAGCATCTTTTCTCAGAATGCCCCTTTTTTTTACAGTGAGAGCAAGGTGGATATTCCTTCATCCCACCTAGTTTTCCCCATTGACCATTGATCCTTTCTTTCCCTTTCTTATCACCGACATATCTCCTATTGTTCCCTTGAACTAATTTACTTTTGTGAGTTGCCATCATTGCACCCTCACCTACATCTTCTTGCCTCAAGAGTTTCTTTGCTCTTGTGCTTGCAGCGCATGAACCAGCTCTGTAAGAGTAACCTGCCCCATATCCCTTGAGTCCTCAAGAGAGGAGATTTTGGACTCAAATCTTTCAAGCAAGCTTACCAAGACTTTCTCCACCATTCTCCTGTCTGTTAACTCCACTCCCAGCAGTTTTATTTTGTTGACAACACTCATCAACCTGTCAATATAATCCTTAACCTTCTCTGATTCTTGCATCCTCTGCATCTCAAACTCTCTTCTTAAATTCAGCACCTGCATATTCCTTGTTGTGTTGCTTCCCATATATTCCTCTCTCAACTTATCCCATGCCTCCTTTGGAGTTTCATATGTCATAATCCTTGTGAATATAAGGTCTGTTACAGTAGCATGGATGTGGGATAGGGCTCTCAGTGCTTTGGTAGCTTCTTCCTCATGCATTCGCATCTTATTCAGAGTAGGATTTGGTCCCAGTGGTGGTGGCTACCTGTTTTCTTCCACATACTGCCACAGCCCCTAACCCCGAAGAAAAGTTTTCATTTTTATAGCCCATATATGATAATGTTCCCCATTAAACACTAGAGGTGACATCAAGGCTGATTGAGCAACCATTGATTCAGTTGATGTCTGAAGCAGGAAAAATAAGAAGACTGGAATAGAATGTTCTTGAGCTGAGATGGATGATTGAGTGCAAGAGAGATTTCAGGTATTTTAGTGTGGCTTTGATACCAATTGTTGGTGTTTAGTGCCGGTGAATACTGAGGAAAAGATGAAAATGAATTTGAGTTGAGAGAAAATCTCTTTCATTACAATGCATATTACAATTTATATATCCAAAAGCTAACTATTACACCAACTAAAAACAGACAATTCAGATTTGAAATTTAAAACTAAGGTTTTCAACAAATACATCCTTAATCTTAGCTGATTGCACTTAAACATGTCACTAAAAATCAACCACTACAGCAGCTCCATTCACGGCAGACAGAGGAGACAGCAGCAGTTCTTTGGCGCCAAAAATTGATTCAAAAACAAACTGAATTTCCGACAAAATTTCCAGCAAATTATCACTGTTTCAACGGAGACTTATCAGCTTGTATCAGAAACGTCTCTCTCATAGTCATATATTAAATCAATCCCAGGATGAAAATTCTAATCCGGGACGCTAATGTGTTAAAATATTGATTCCTTTATAAAAACAAGACACCATACAAAACAAATTACAAATTAAACAACTGCATAAAGATAACATTTTTTAAAAGAAACCCAGTGACAGATTCTCCCTCTTGTTTCTTCAACCAAAGAATGATATTACAACGCATGCCAAGTTTGAATTACTTTAAAAATTAAAGTCCCTTTATTTTGTAAATACTAGACATCAAAAGAGTTTTTGTGAGCCATTTTGTGGGCTAATCACTCACTTTCATAAGCTGGACAAACAATGTGTTTAAGGACTTAGTTTTTCCTCGCTCTCTTCTGTTTCTCTTTCAAATGGTACTTATTGTGACTTGAAGATAATCAACAAGCTTCTTATTGAAACTTGAAGAGCTCAGCCAGCTCACTTAACAAGTCTTATGCCCATATCCACATGTGAGAAAATATAGTTTAATTTATGGTCATTTTCAGCATTTATATTTCCATCTTCGTTTTTGGTCATATTTGCATGAGTTTCAAAGTCGAAAGCATTGGAGAAGATCCAGTTAATGCAACCTACTAATGGAACAAATGTTCCTCTTGTTCTTTGCTCTCTACCCCTAACATATTGCGGCAATACTATACATCCTACTTACAATTCTTGCTGCCAAAGCAAGAGATACAAGAAATAGTTTTTCATTTTAATGTGATTCTGCAGAGTGCAACTGAGACCAGTATTCCTTCACAAGCTGCCCAAACAGCGAATCTTCCCTCCTCATTAAATTCATTGGCTCATCATACTCCACAAGCTTTCCTGCAACATAGAAAATACTCCTTGTTTTAAATATATGAATCCTTCATTAAGTTATATTAATATCAGATGAAGCTCAAAAACAGGACTCAGTCACTCACCATCACTAATGGCAAGTACCATGGTGCAATCCATCACCGTTGGTATCCTGTGAGCCACTGTAATCACAGTACAATCTGCGAATTCAGTCCGAATAGTTTTCTGTAAAATGGTGTCAGTTGCATTGTCGATTGATGCAGTTGCTTCATCAAGCACCAATATCCGGCTTCTCCTTAACAGCGCACGCCCCAAACAGAATAGTTGTCTTTGCCCCATGCTCCAGTTTGATCCATCATCCACAACTATTACCAATTCATAGTTAATATCACTATCAAAAATAGAAGCCTGAAAATTTATAGATGCCACTATACTTACCTAAGGAGTCAAGGCCTTCTTCTTTCTCCTGGACAGCTTCCCGAAGCTGACATCTTCCAAGAACCTAAGAAAGTGCCCACGAAATGATTAGCATGCAGATGTAAAAAACCAAAAAGTACTTCAATGAACAAGAATTTCAGTCAAACATCTGTTAGATCCTAAACATCAACAGAGAACAAAGAAGTATCGAAACTTACCTCCCATATTTCCTTGTCTGTATGTTCAGATAAAGGATCCAAATTATATCTCACAGTGCCATTGAAAAGTGTAGGATCTTGAGGAATTATACCAAAACGTGTCCTCAGATCATGAAGCCCAATCTTACAGATATCAATGCCATCTACTATAATCTTCCCTCCAGCTGGCTCCACTAAACGAAATAGAGCACCTATGAGAGTAGTCTTTCCACTGCCAGTCCGGCCAACAATACCAATTTTGTGACCTCCTTCAAATGTGCAACTGATGCCCCGAAGGACAAGTGGTGCATCAGGCCTATATCTGATCTGTTGATCAACAAATTTCTCAGTATACTAATCACCATTCAGACAGAACAGTAATGAACATAATAGAATTTTTACCTGTAAATCGCAGATATCCACTTTACCCACAGCAGGCCAGTTGGCTGGAGGGCGACTGTCTTCTATCACTTCAGGGGCTTCACTTTGTACATGCATGTATTGGTTTAGTCTTTCCACAGAAATGATATAATTTGCTATAGTACACTGGTTCTGGATAGACATAACTAGGGAAACATTTAAGGAAAGGCCATAAGAAAGTGCCATCCCGATAAATCCTGTACATAACAGAAGTAATTGAATAACAATTAGTAGCTTAATGATATATGAAGAATCTGTCTCAAAAAATATTTCAAATTCTAAAATATGTCCATGGATATTTGCGAATTAGAAGATAGCAATGGCTCTTTGAAGATACCAATAGTACTCACCTGGGCTAAAAGTTCCAGGAGGAAGCAAAACCATGCAGAGTGCTGCCGACGAGATAACAGCTGCACTGAGCACTTCTAACCTTTGAATCAACCACTCATTTGCAGCAAAACTGTGGAAGAAAGGACTAGCATTGGTATCAATGAGATCAAGGCTCTTTGCAAAAAAACGCTCTTCCTCCTCAAAGGCCCTTATTGTCATAGCTCCTGCAACTGACTCAGCCAAATGATTTGCCACAAAGGACTTGGTTGTGCCATTGATCCGCATCAATTCTTTAGCAGAAGAAAAATAATATCTCTGAAAAAAGAAAATTTATATAATAATCAGTAAATTACTTGTTAAGGTTCATCGTAACAACTCCAAAATATATGTCCCATGGAAGATTATAGAAGACTGCCCCACTTAATATAACTCATTAGGAAAATTTGCATAATATTACCTGCAAGCGAATAGCCACAAAAATCACTGGTATTGAGACAAACAGAACTTGCCAGGTGACAACAGCTAGTACTCCAAGATTAGTATAAGCATTAGTGGTAGCCCCAACAGCAAAGATTAAACTGAACGGGATATCAAGGTCAACAATACTCAGATCGGAGGAGACCTATATTAAGGACCAACATTCAAACATTAAAAGAAATATTAGTTTCATCAACCCCTCTTTGTTGGCAAACATTTTATGATCAAGATGCTTACCCGACTAAGTATCCTTCCCAAGGGTGTGGAGTCATAAAACGACATAGGTGCACGGAAAAGAGAATTTAGAAGCTGTGAAAATAAAGATTGTGATGATCGAAGACCTAAGAAAACAGTAGAGAGAGATCTACACAGCAAAAATGCTGTTGAGGTAAATCCAATCACTAAGTAAACTACTATCAGCCGCAATGTGCTAACATGAGGATTATCTACATTGGAAGCCATCCAAGTGTTCTGTGATATCTGACCAAACACAAATACAAGGTGGGAAAGACCAGCCAAGCTGAAGAACAAAAAGCCTTTGTTCTGATTCAGATATTGTATGTATGGCTGTAACCCTGTGTCTCCTATTTCTCTCTCTTCTTGTTTTATCAGCTGATCACCTTTGGGTGCTTTAAATTGTTTGTCCACATAACCCTTCTTGATCTCTTTAGCAGGTGTACCATGCTTCTGAGAAGTAACAACGGCAAGTCTCTCAGAACCAGCAGTTTCTTTGTGTGCATTGACAAGGTCCTGAAATTCTTTACTTGATGACAATAACTGATGATAAGAAGCTGCCCGCAGGATTTCCCCATCTGACATTAACTGTCAGAAAAAACAAGATTACTGCCAATAACTGGTTATAGAAAGATCATAAAAAAGAAAAAATGCAACAGAGTTTGCACAAAGCCATACATTTCAATTATCTATTTTGACTTGCACGGTCACTATGTGTTCTCTGTCTGACCAGATTGTTCATTGCGTAAGAGTAAGAAGCGAATTATTAAGACCGGACAACACTAACTATGTATTCTTTCATAGGCTACTTGGTGAATAGAAACCAAAACAATTAGTCCTAATAACTTATAGAATCTAATACAAACATAAAACACTACAATACAAAAAGTTTGGAGAACTTTGAACATGAAAAAAGACATGAAAGATGATGCAGATGCCATCAAACTGCAGAAATAGTAATTATCCAATACATGGTTAGAGATTAAAGCTGCAAGCAAGTGCATTCCAGATCCAAATTGATTAAATTCAATCAGTTTGTTTTAGATTAAGCAACTAAGCCCTTAAGGTAACAGCAGATATCTAACACTGAAAGTGCTCCAGACATAATGACATGGCAACTAGAAATGGAAAATCCAGACTACAAAAAAATCTCAAGTTACTTCAAAACACAGAAGCGAAGAGAAGAAAAGAAATTGAGAGTACACTAACCAAAACAGAATCAAATGCAGGTAGGAAATCAACTTGATGAGTCACAAGTAAAACTGCCTTCTCTGAAAGTGCTCCCATAACATATTCCTGGGAGAGTTTAAGTTAGCTTTCCCGAAAACCAAGTTATTATATAGAGATCATGTTCAAAAAAGAAAAGCAGTTACATTAAATAAACTTGTGGCCGTATGAGCATCCACAGCACTGAATGGATCATCCAACAAATCATTCTCGAAATCTTGGAATCTGAAAAACAAAATCTTTGAAATTGTGTGGCAGTTTTATTCTCAACTGCAACTTGAATTTATTAAAGAGGCAAACATATGCTTTTAATACTCAATAAGTATGTTATGCTATGGCAGCATGAAACAGGGACATGGAAAACATAATGAAATCAATCTATCACACCTACAAGAAAAGGGATTGGCCAAGCCTTATATACATTAATGGACTAAATCTTCTTAATGACATACCAAATCCTTGTACCAAATATATAAATAATCAGTCATCCTCCTAACAAGCGTTAGCGTTAAATTGGGGATTAACTTTGATTAAATATAGTTTTTACTTACCATGACTTTATAATAATTGAAGATCCAAGGTATATGCTTTGCTTGATAACTTATCGTTTAGTCAATGACCTTATGGAAATGGGAATAATTCTAAGCAAAATCTTTGCTTTAAAGCCAATAAGGGCTCCTTAATGCATATGAAAGGACGATTAAAATATATTTGATTGGAGACATTGCATATTTTAATTTCTCATTCAACAATAAGCATCAATTATTTTATTGATGAAATACCAATGATCAATGTAATGCAATAGAATACTACTTAATTTGGTGCTATAAAGGCTGTGCGTAAGTTGTCCGTGGGAATTGGGACATGGAAATACACATAGTTTTGAGAAGGATGAGAAGGAAGAAGAATCCTTTTTCACCTTCAACAATGTACTTGAGATTGACAAGAAACAAGGTAGAGGAAGATCGAGCTCGAAAAGGGTATGTCCCGGTGCTCGTTGGTAAAGAGGGGATGATGGAAAGAATCTTGTTACCAACGAAGCTGATTGATCATCCATATGTAGTTTCCTTACTGGAGCTGTCTGCTAAAGAATATGGATACGAGCAACAAGGATTGCTGCAAATTCCGTATGATGCTGATTGCTTCAAAAGGGTTATTGAGAGTATATCCAAGGAGAAACAATCTTGATTCTTGACAAGTGTATATTTAGTATTTACATGATCAAACTAAGTTAGCTTTGCAGTTTGGATTCATAATAGAAGATGCTTCTTTTAATAAACTTAAACACTACATATTAGCTCACTTCCAATTTATTATCTGTTTTATATATCACAGATTATTTTTTGCTAGCCTATATCTATAGTTTTCCTTAGTTAAATTTCATTCTTAAGGTACCAATCCCCTTGATTGGGGTCAATATTTAGAAGTTGCTTGTTGTAGTTGAGGTCTTGTGATATTTACGCAGTGTGTAGATCAAGATAAACTGGGTATATGGTTGTATATATGTCCAGGTACAATAACTTTTCTTATCTTTACATTTTACTTATCCCTAGAATGGCTTTTGCAAACAAAACTTTTGCTCAAGCCATCTCGTGTTGGAGGTATTGACAATGAATGATGAACAATGAATCATCCCTGGATTCTGGGGATACTTTTGCTCAGTAGTGGGCTTCCATTTGCAGATGAAACAAGGCCAATCAGATAAGAGGTGCATGCTTGTGTTTCACCTGAAAATGCCAATAAAGTGAGATTCCAAAAACTTCACCTTTTACTTTTTTTTTTTTTTTTTCTTTTATGCCGAGAGATTACTCTATCCACATACAAACAATAAATCCTGAACCAAAGGATGCTACTGGGTTCTGGATAAGTAGAACTTTTTTCATCTTTTTTCCAAACTTTATATGAACTTCCATGGTCCCCATTTGTGTTTACATCTACATTAGGTACATGTCATAGTCAAGATTACTGTAACCTCAGCAACTTATCCTCATCACATATGGTAAATAATATGCCTATTTAAACCATAACCTGTTAAAACTTCATACAAATCCATAACATATAATTCTATCCTGTATTGGGTTCTCCAAACTTCTTTATTTTTTATGGCCTTGGCTTCATCAGAGAGCTCAAACAATCTCAAAGCCACCCATGATGACATTGTGGAACTGGAAATTACAGAGGTAGATGAAGCCCTCCTCAGGAATTTACTGGAGGAGTCGATGAATGAAGACATGAGAGAAGATGCAGCTTACTGTCTGGACGTGAATAATGAGCGAGAGTTGGAGCGGTTCAGTGACTTGGATTGGAATGATATGATGGATGTTGCAGTTCCAGCATTGCCAATGGATGAAAATACGATGGTATGGTACATAGATGAGATGGTTGGAATGATTGATTTTGCTTGTAATGGAGATTTATTGGAATTTTACAGTGGGGACTTGTCTGATGAAACAAATTACTGTGTCTTGTGGCAGGAATAGCTAATATTGTACCAAGTTAACCTCATCTAAGCAATTGCTTTTCAGTATTGATGGTGTTTGGGGAGTTTACTTGGTCGTGGTTTGCAATTTATTTTAATGCTAATTGCTAAAGTAATAGGTGGCAATATTTGTAACCAAAAACAAAAACAAGTAAATAAAGGTCGAGGGTTTTGGAAGTTAAATAAATGATGACTGAACAATCTAGGACAGCTTTATGGAAGTGTTTGCTTAGCTAATTCTAATTTGTTCTGCTTGCATTCCTTTTCTAGCAACGAATTTATGGTCAATTCTTGGACCCCTTTGATGTATATATTCAATATTCTCTGATAGTTTCAACCAAACAAACCTAACAGAGCCGGCTTTCCTGAAAACTGAAACATGCATTAAGATTTTTAAATAGAAAATGCCGCATCACAAATTCTTTTAAAATGACACAAATGGTGTAGCTTTCTAGTTTTGTGCACAATAATGGAGAACTGCTCAATTAGTCGAAAGATGCAATAGATTCAAATAATGTGTTACATTGATATACCTCATCCTACAGATAAAAATATCCCATTTGCAACAGAATGGGCACGAAACAAATACAAATACTTGGCATTTAGCCCTGTGGCCATATTCGTGTACAAAGCTCTTCTTACACTACAAAAAATAGCAGTAAAATTTGTTTCTTTGAGTGAATAATTTGATGCTGGTTCATTATCTACCAACTAATTCTTTCACGTTTCACAAAGCTGGAAAGCGCCAGAATCAAGAATCTTTGGAGCCAACAATAAACTTGGCTATGAAAAATCCAATTGTATTAAGTGGAGATGACGGATCAAACCTCTGAACAAGTTCTTCCTCGCCAGGTCTTAACCACTCCCTGTGGAGTAAGTGTTGAAACCAATTACTGACAATTATGCTAACAAACAGACACACCTCCTCGCCATAAAAATTAAATAAAATTAACAGGTTAACAAAAGAAACAACCAAATGATTAAGATTAAACATACAGAACTAATCAATAAAATATTGTCCTTACACCATATCAAAGAAAAAAAATTCAAAACTGGGAAAAAAATTAGCACAAACATTTTGGGGAAAAGATGATAGATTTTCCATTCCTATATTGCGTATCCCATTTTAATCCCAAATAATGAAGCTGCTTTTGAAATTCGCATAAATAGAAAAAAAGTTAACAAAAATTCATAATACAAATGCTGGTGGCAACATAGATAATTCCCCATAATCTTAGTTTCAACCAAAGATGTGAAACTGTATTTTGTGGCAAAATAGATATTTTACATTATCGTGATCTATATGACCAACACCGAGCCACTTGAGTGTTTACAGACATAAACGTGAATACTTAAGAGCATAAACAATGGCACGAGACTGGGGCAGAAGTACTTACTCAACATATCCATCAGGAAATTCACAACCACCAACAAGGCCAGGTCCTCCAATTCTAGGATGCTGAAATATATTGACGAAAATAATAACATCATCGACAACAATGTTAACCAATTGAAGAATTTAAAAAATTAAATTAAATCAGGGTTTAGAAGCAATATGAAAATGTACCTGTGGTGCTAATGAGAGGAATTTATATGTATCCAAAGCATATCGAACCAATGCTTCATTCTCACCAGGGTTAATTGTACATCTAGCAAAAGAAAAACCCATAAATTTATTTATTTAAAAAATTAAAAGTTTTTTCACCTCCACAGTTGCCATTGCCAGAAAATGACAGCCAGTCGCCAGGATCCGGTGACCGGAAATTTCACCAGCCTACTTTGATGATGATTTTGGTATTAAAATAATCTTCTCTGAATGGTCTATTTAACCATACAATTTTCTAAAGCAATTGATGCGGCGTTTTTCCGGATCTGACGGAGAAACTTCGGGTCCAAACTTTCTCCATCAGATCCCCGTCAACCACTATTTTCATTGCTATCGAAAGTTACAAATATGCATAAATAATTAAAATATGATCATTATGATACCAGTATCATTATCTAACCATGCCGGCGAATATCCCGGTGACCGGATTCCGGCAAACGGTGGACGGCTTTATACCCTTTAATATTTTAAATAATTAATTATACTAACTTACAATTAAAATTAATCGTTAATAATATTTATATAAAATTAATGGTTAGTACACATGGTACTGAAAATCGATGAGAAGACAAAGCAGGGTACTAACGTCGAATACACAATGACTCCACCGGGGCGAACTAATTGAACAGCCTGGTCAAACATTCTCCTCTGATACTTCCCATGGTTTCTTAATGAAACAATTGTTTCCTGGAAGAGAAAACAAATTTAATCAATTTCCCCTGTTATCTTTTATTATGCATATAAAGGCGAAATACAAATTAGTAAAGGCACAGACTTCAATACTCTTTAAATTAAATAGCAGACGTAAGGCATTAATACGAAACAATCTCTTTACCCTTATTTATCTTCTTAATATGGCATAAATCAGGGAAGAAATTCGTAAAATGAATATCAACTAGACAGTCCTACCTCTCCAGCAAATAGTCGAGGTCTGAGACCAAGAGCAGAGCAGGGAGCATCAAGAAGAACTCGATCAAAGCTGTTAGGAAAAAATCCTTTTGAATTCTCAACCCTACCACCAAGGGACTGATTTCTTCCAGGCCCATTCCGCATTTTTTGCTTATTCTTCCTGATGTCAGCTTTGCTAATGTAAGTTCTCTCATTCCCTTTTTCATTGCTAACTAAAATATTGAAAATTAGAGATGAATTTGTAATTGTCAAGCAAGCCGCATTTTGTCATGCACAAAGCAAGTATGAAAGAGGAAACAATTGCAATCACCACTTAAATACAAATAAAACAATTCAATTGAGTAGATTTCAAAACTCTGACGCATATTCAATATTTTGACAACCATGCAACCTTGAGCAGAACAACCTTTAAATCACAGCTTACACCAG